ATTGATTATTTATGAAACTTCGTTTTAGATTCCTGTATTCTTTTACGTAGGAATGTATTTTCTTGTAATTAGATACACTTTAAAGTCACGGATAATTTTATCATTGAATTAACTTTAAATTTATTAGTGCATTATGTGGTTTCGGCATAGAATAGGCCACTCCTTTCTTTCCTGTGGTGTGCGGTGTTTCGTAAGAGGCAACCAAGAGATCGTAAGAGCTATTGGTTGCCTCTTACTATGATACTTATTACGATAGTAAAGAATGGGCAACAGCATCCCTCTTAAATCATCTCTAAAGTCTAACTGCGGTTGCCACGCATGACAATTACTGGTAAAACCCCCTTAGGAGGAGACTTTTATTCAACAGTGGGCAATAAAGGGCTGATATGATGATTATGATTATATATACTAATAAATATTATACAATATAATTTTACCAGAAGGACAAAAGAAATACAAAAGTCGTTGGCTTGGGCACCTCTGTCCCATTCGTATTACTATCGTGAAGCAGTTGTCTTTGCATGGTTGTGTTTCAGTTTGAAGGGTGGGATATGGCAGTGAATTTACAGGAATAACACCTGAGTCCTCAGGAATGGCAACACATGGGGGGTATCAAGGGCGAAACAGTATACTCTGTTATGTCCATGATCCTGCTCATGTCTATAGGCGACGAGGCGAAGGTTACCACTTTCCATTAGGTGGGCTGTTAGCTTGTTTGCCATTCTAAGTTGCATAAAAACTTTTATCTAAATTAATATCATAAAAGAAAAGATTTTTTTGTATGTTTATTTGCACTGAATAAACTACTTTATTCTTCATTCTCTTACTTTCTTTGAAATAATTTTTCAAATCAGTTAAATCGTTTTCAATTTATCCATTACACACATACTAATAATAATATTAGTTAAACCAAAAGTTGTTTTGCTTACTATATCATATTATCTGTTAACTGTCCACTGCTGAACTTACGCCTTCCCCTATTGGGAAGCTTTTAAAACAGACGCTGCTTCTCATCCCTCGACCATTAAATTCCTTTAGTCGCATTTTACGACACCTACGAGAAAGGACAGGGTGGTTCAATGTATGCCAAGACCATATGGGAATTAATAGGTAATGAGATTAAATTAGAAGTTAATCTCACTACTTATTACAAAATCTTCGTATTAGTAGAGGCAAGATATTGTTAGTAAGTTAAAGCTTAACGATCCAATTTCCAACAAAATACGTTATTAGGTCGCCCTCCACGCGGACCCACTGATACCCCACCAACGTATATACTTATCGATAGCGAAGACGGAGTCAGATTTACCAACTCCTAACCATAAAAAATAGTTAGGTACAGTTTAGTATTTTCAATTAATGTTTTTGTCAGGTTTTATTTTCGACTGAAGTTCCACGCAAACGTTCATTCCTTTTCTCATGTTTAATGCCTGGTTAGTCGACTTCAAACATGTGAAAGCTATCATAGATGTTTGTATACGAGTACTTCCGTCAAGGAGTTAGAAACACATTCAGCATCCAAAATACGACTAGCATCAAGTTTTTTATTGGTTAAAAATATAATAATAATTCTGTCTGCGCGTATTTAAGATTATTTTCCAGGGAACGGGTAGGGGGGAGGGAGCTGCTTTTTTAAAACAGAGCTAAATGTATTCTTAGACAAGTCATTATTTGTAGTTGAAAGCCCCGCTCTTTACTCTGGGATGGGCACGGCTCACTCACTCAGCTCTCCTCTAAATACGCCTTTTAGGTAGAATAGATACCAGCAAAAAAGAATAAGTGAACGAAGCCGGGTGAATTGGCTTATCATAATGAAACATGATATTAACAGATGGAACAACACGGAGGTCAATCTGACTAACAATTTCTTTCTCTAATTTTCTTTAAATCAGTCAGTAACCTAAAGTTCTAGATGCCAATATCCAAATTACGATTAAATTGCATAAATTATCATTAAATCTCTGATATCAAGATATTCGTTTAGGGCTACGGACGCATAGACTAAGTTATATAAAATAAATAGTTACGTGTTGATTTACATCCGGAGTAAAAAGGAAAATACTTTGTTTTATCGGTCATAAAACTTTCTCACGTCTGCATACCAATATGAGTTTGTTCATATATCTAGATTCGCTTGTTGAATATTTACTTTATTTCCTCATCCTTGCTTAGACAATCAAGGAGTTTCCGTGCGATTGTTTGTGTGTGGATTTTTCCCATAATTGTAGTCTTTTATTAAATATATCATATCGTATTGTAGAACTATTATTTAATCTATATTTTTCTACTATGAACGAAGAAAAACGTTACACTGTTCATTGAAGAGAGATCCAAAAGAGTATTTCGTGTTTTATTTCTCTTCCACTACTATATTGTGCTTTGTTTCCTTAGTCGCCTTTTATGATATCTTGGGAGATAGTACAGACGAGATATGCCTAAAAGTGGTACGTTAACAGGTTTTGTAAGAATCTTCTGTTGGCGCCATAGGAACGTATAAAACATTATTCCATGACACAGATAACAATCTACATAAAAAGGAACGCGCATTGATAGACGTTAATCAGCACAAAGTCAATTAAACATAGAAAAAAACAGGAATTGCACGCTATCGGTTATAACACTCCTTTTAAGTATAACTTAAAGACAGGTAGTCGTCGCTTGAATTATATAGCCGATCGTCGTTATGTGAAATTAATTTATGCGTCATAATTATAAATGCATTGATAATGCTCTCCAAGAGCATGTATCTTTAAATAGCGTAACAAAGTGACTATCCGCGCCTGTTTCTCCATTTATTTCTAAACCAAGCAAGTAATTTTGCAAGTAAATACGGATTTCAACGTCATTTATTTATTTATATTTATTTATATGTCACAATATACAAATTAGTTATTATAATATAATAGGTAAGTACATGTAATTGTCTATATTTATAATAAGGTTACTATTGTAATTTTTGGAGGAAACAATAAATCTATCTATCTATCTATCTACATAAAAAATATAACACGCGTAGGATAACCGCAATTTACAAAAAAATAGAACCATCCACTTTTATAACAGTTTAAACTATATTGTATCATGCTTTACTTCTTAATTTTGTTAGTAGATTTTAAATTTTAATATAATTCCATATGAATATGTTATATAGTTGCATATTGTTTTTCACAAAAGATTTGCATGTACATTTGCATTCTGATTAAATTTTTCTATTAGTAGGTATGTAATACCACCCGTGCGAAGGCAGCTCAGGTTGCTAGTTCAACCAAAAAATGGGTAACACAAAAACTATAATATAAACAATTGAATATTCGATACACACTCTTTCAAAGCCATTTATAAAACTGAAGCAGGATATTCTGAGTAAAAAGGTAAAGTTGCATTCTAAAAATAAATAATTTTGTCATTTTAAAGTCAATTCTTTGCAATGACTAAAAATGTAGTATTTTTATAATTGCAGACTTCATATTGCACCGTCATGCTCATGCACCGTCACAACTTTTTTTCTAATTTCTAATAACGTAAACATGTATAAAATTATAAATGTAAATTATTAAAACGTAAGTTCTCAATAATAGAATTGATTGCGATAAAGTAACAAGTTTTATTTCCTCTTTTACTTTTTTCCAATAACAATTACTAAAATGTCAATTGTCAACCACGTCATGCAACAATCCACAGAGTATATGTCTAAAATCTTATTCTTTGTTATGTCATTATTATAACACTGTAACGAATGTATATTAGTTCTAAACTCAAAAGTACTTTCTAAACAATAAATTACAAAGTTTATAAATGTATATAGACATCGATTACAGAATACTGAGCCTCTCATACAATGTAAATTATATCATTATTGTACAACCATAGATATATAAAAAAACATTATATAAGACTTTTAATATAAAGCCGTAAAGTAACTACTTGGAAAAAATATAATAGTTAAAAAGTGAGCTAATAGCCACTGTTGCTATAAGTACCATAGAAGAGCCATAACTAATTTATTCTCAAATTTGTTGTTCGTAATTTCCTATAAAATTATATTGAAGCATAAACAATTTACGTTGCATCATAAATATATGCATCTACATATTTATAGCCTACCACTTGTAAGAGAGTTCTCACGTATATAATTATTTCTTAATCATAAATTGTAATTGTTACACCGTAAATATACGTTTACAAGATTACAAATTAATTAGCTGAGTTTAAAAAAATACGAGTCAAATCAAAGTTAAGATATTGTATTGTTTATGGTACAATCCAGAAGAATGCTTATTATTAAACATAATCGTTATAATAAAAATAATCTACTATAACAATTATAGATATTTCAGTTTTGTCATAGAAAAAATCTTCTTTTTATGATTTTTATAATAACAACAAACTTTGTTAAATCACGCGATAAAGTTTTATTTTATTATCGAATTGTCATCAATAGATTGGCCTACTTTCACTCCATTATTTGTAAAATAAATTATTTGTTCATATTTTTGCACGCATTAAAATATGTCAACAGGGCGGACTATGCCTGATGGTATTCTCTACCAGTTAACCGTTACGCTAAACAGAGAGAGTAAATGGCGGTGCATTGGTCTAGCAAAATCAATTTGAAAATTAAATAAATGTTTAGATAAATAACAAAATTAATACAATTATCACGTACATAAATCACACACAATACAGTATACATAAATAATGCGTAGTACATATTAATATAATAAATATACATATACGTCATGGCTAATCATATAATAGTTGCAATAATTTCAAGTAATGTTCACAAAGCGACTTTTTAAAGGAAAACTTTGGGGGCATAAATAACATATTGTTTAACTTTGAACTTTAAATAGAATGTAATGAAACCTAAAAAAATTGAACCATTCAAACGTATGTTAAAACTTTAAAAAAATTCTGTTTAAAAATATGAAAGATGTCTATAAACAAATTCATCTTCGATATGATCAAACATACTAAAATAGCCCTGTAATTTGTTACAGAAGCGGTTTAAGAGAGCGGCGCCGAGTCGGCGCCCACCTCCACACGGCTGCTGATGACACAATAAATTGTGATGCTGACACGAACAGGATCCTATAGGAAACTGCGTCCTAGAGGACGGCGAAGGACGTTGTAGCAAACTAACAACTAGTTCCATAAGTGCAAGTGCCTAACCCATTATAATGTTGACTAATCGACGCAATTTCATCTTTAGAGTTAGTATCGTTATAAACATCGCCGTATTGCTGTATGCGGCGATGCATTTGTCTGGCAGCAACCCGCCCGGTGTGGAATGGGTGCCGATTACGGTCGACGGTTCGGAGAGAAGTGCCGAAATGCGATTAGTGCGTGATGATGTGCGAAACGATAGTGAAATGAGAACGGCAGAGTCGAGCGTTAGGAGCTTCGAGGAGTCAACCTCTCAGAAAACGCCGTCTACTATGCCAACTACGAATAAGACTGCATCAAGCACCGCATCTATAGCAGATATCGAGAAAACAATGAAAAGTCAAGATACGTCGTCAGACGCAGATTTACCAATCGAAACGTTACTGGATATTGTAGATGAGAATGCTTTATCCGATACAACGTTGGCGCGACTCCGGACGCTACTTTCTTGTAACGATAAAGATTTCCTTCCTGAATACCTTCAGCGTGGTGAATTCTGGGTATTGAAGAACTACGTACGAGCAGACCACGGAACTATTCTTTGTCATGAAACTATCACATACACGACGCATGCTGGTTTCGAGTTCCTAGATAACGTTCTACCATTAGTTGAACGGTAAGTCACAGCAATATTACTATTTACATAATATTCATTAATTTAATTATTATAATTATTAATTCTGATATCTGCAATTCTTCTAGTGCTGCGGGTGCTCATTTACAGCGTTACTCTTTTACCACCAGTTAAGCCACATGATTGTTTCCCTCTGTTTTATAAAAAAAAAAATAAGTACTAAATTCATGAACAAGGAAAATATAATATCTATATTTTTACCTTCAAAATTATTTTCTTATTTTTATACCTGCATATGAGTAATTTAAAAAACTATATTTTATATTTACTTCAATATCTCTAATAATGCAAGTATGTATGCTAAAAATTTCTAATTAAATTTTTAAACATTCTAAACATTTAAAAGTACATTCACCTAATCTATTAGTTAGTTTCTACTATTCACTGTAGCGATAAAGTTGGAATTAGGCATATTTTATTAAATTACATAAAATATGTCTAATTAGATTAAATTAAAAATTTTTGGAATAATTATAAATAGATATACATAATAAAACATTTATAGAAAAAGACCTTATGTCGTGAAATACCAGATGTAGCTGTCATTTTGTCCGATGTATTAATTTGTATAAAAGAAGAAATGGACTTCTCCATCCCAAAAATTTGTATCCAACTTCATTATTATGGTGATGATCTAAGCCGAAACTATAAAGAACAGCTAAACCAAAAATGTCAGAAAATAACAAAATAACAATCAAAAATACATTCAAATGTCATATTAATAAGAACAAAATAATCAAGAGTTCAATAACACCAACAAGGTTGAGTGACTATGATTAACCATATTTACCTGTTATTGGTATTAAAACAGCATAATAATTAAATACTAAGGACAATCTAGTAACATGACATACATTACCTATTTTAAAGAAATACCCAATCACATAATCACTTGTACGTGTAGCAATGAAAAACAAAACATAGTTAAGTATTTGTTATAGTGTTGAAGTAGTGTTATGTAAATTGTTAACATTTCGTTTCTGTTACACTTTAATCTTACTTAGTATATATCTGCAGTATATATTGTATAACCTTAAGTACTTGGTAACTGCAAAAATAATATCGAAAATTGGGTCTATAGAATAATTACAATAGGTGATATTCAAGTGCCACCATATGTTGTCATTCTTGAATACAAATAGATCTAATAAAAGCACTAAATAACTAAAACTAATTTCCCTACTCCTATAAAGAGAGATAAACTCGTTCCAGTTTATAAAATTAATTTACACACATAACCAATTAACCTTGAAGTTAATACAATCTCAAAACCTGTCCATTTGCAAAAAGTGATAACGAGTAATATTACTACTAAGTGAATGAACAACTTTCGTCGACTAGTTCTTGACACTATTACGATTTATTTATGTTTTCACTTCCATTTATTGAATGAAGAAAGCCATTTTTTAAGTTTAAAAACCTCTACAAAGGTTATTTACAATTAAATCAGCAAAAGAAACGCAATTTTGTGGCTATTTAAATTAATTACCTACTGTTGTTTGCATTGCTATAATTAAACCGTTATCCAAAATCAAGATACATTTTAATGTGGCTTCATTTATTTTTTAAACAAACTTTTATTTTTTTATATGAAAAATGAAAATAACTGAAATAAAGAAATGCGTGTAGAATACCAACGCAGTTTTCACTGGTAATATAAAAATTATATAAATATAAAAACATATACGAAATGTAGAAAGAACACTTGATAGCACATCAAACATCCGCTAAGTAAATAAAAAATGTGCCTTTATTTGCACAGAGTCCATATCTACATTAATGAGTAATATTTCTACGATATGTACGTTACGTTATGTAATACGTTTGTATTTATTACTCTTAAAATGTACATTTAAATTTTATTGATCAATATAGTACATAAAGCTAAGGCAACTTCTACCAGCCACATTTAGAAAGTGTAAATTTACTGGAAAGCGGTTTATTGTAGAAAAAAGATATAACATACATATAAATATATATAATAATACTAATTTTCTATAATTCGTAAAAATAGATTAAAATTATGAAGACTTTGTCTTTTTCAAACTTTATAGTTCCGTTTAGCACCTTAGATACTTACTAGAAAGATTTTTTTGAAATTTTAATTAATTCGACAATTATTATATTATTGTTACCATTCATTAATATAACCCTAATATTTAAATCTAGTAATAATTAATCTAATTATTTGCTTATACTGTAATCACTGTAATAATACTATTTTAGTATTTATGGTAAGCCCAGTTTATTCAAAAACGATATCGAATTATACACAAACAGACGAAGTTTTAGAACAATCAATGATAAAAAATATAAAAATATAAATTCGAAATGTAAATATTTCTCTTGAGATATAGATATCACTGGATATAGATGCGTTATTGATATCTATAAGAATGATATTATATTGTAACCACGTCGTGCATATAAAAAAAAATATAATAATATATATCATATAAAAAAATTAATGTACAGTGAATGAGATAGATACACAGAATTTACTCAATACAGCTTTATTCAGAACTAGTCAATATTCCGTTAAATTGTGTACAACGTACGAATATGTAGTCTTCATAAAAGGGAACATTTTCTATCCTCTTCACACTAAAGAATAATCTAATAACAATTTAAGAATGATAACGTCACACGTTTAGTTATCTTAGAGAAATTGGGTGAACAAATAATAACAAAACTGTTATAATACATATATTGATAAGTTCTGAGTCTACGGTAACGACCATAGATATTATATAAAAATAGACGACCTCAGTACCTTAATTTATACGAACACAAACCACTTGCCTTAATGTTACAAAAGCCATTTATTGAAACACCACTCTCGCACTAAATCATTTCAAAAAATTCATCCGTTATCTCTAAACTTAAATTTTATGAAGAAATTCAAATTTGGACAGTGTAAACTAGACTCTATGTTGTTTAATTAAAGACCAAAAATCGACATATACATGCAGTAGAGTGGTGCCATATATTTAACCTATTATCTGTGGTACGTAGATACAATGAACACAAGTTTTTAGTCCAATACCTTTACATAGACAGTATAGTATACAAAGTTTTTTTTTGTATACAACTTAAATTGGGAAGCAAGCTGACGGCCCACCTGATGGAAAGTGGTAACCGTCGCCTATAGACATGAGCATATCATTTACTAACTTATTCTAGCATGCAAGAGGTGGCAGAGACAAGAGGCCTTGTATTATGAGATTAGCGTATATTAATAAAATATGCGATAGTTCGATATAAAAATAGATAATGTCAACGTATTGATATAGTCGAATACAAGATACACGATTAGAAACTAACAAAACAGCATTTTTCACTCATTCCTGACCATTCTGTTTATAGCAAAACACGTTAATATTATATATAAATGTTTTCATTAGGTACTGTTTTTGTATTTATTTTATATTTATTTATTTATTTATTCTTTATTGCACAATAAAATTTTGTACAAATTTTATTGTACATTTTAACTTTATTCCTATCATGAATTTAAAATTAGGCTAATAAACTTCGCTACTTGTCTTAGTAAAAAACGCTTTTGGGATGACCTTAATTATATAAAATTATGGAAGTTGAATAAACATATTCTTACAAATTTTATAAATATAATATCGTCTAGACATGTAGACTTTTGTTTACGGTAAATATTTGATAATTATTTATTTTTGAATTCAGGATAGTTTCTAGTGTAACTTTTGAGTATAATTGGGAATCCGGCTATTTTTTTAAATTAATGTGTCAGCATTGAATGACCATTGTATAAACACGTGTATATAGAACATAGCAACAATTTGAATAAAATGCGCACGCATAATATTTATAATGCATTTCTATTATTAAAGCATCCCAGTATAAAAATAGTCGATAAAAATCAACTCCTACCATCATCGTTTGAAATTTACTTCGCATCTATCGTCTATTATTATTGCAAATGTTCATAAGAATTTTAGTTAAATAACTATAATACAAAATAGATATCAAAATGAATGGACAATAAAATTAATGTAGAATGTCAAAATGTGGATATTTTACGTAACATGATTGTATCTGTATCTACACAAGAGGTCGTTAAGAATAGAAGGCTAACAAACATATTAGGAGAGGCCCAAAAGCAAAACGGCGTAACTGGCGTTGTAAAATGGCGTTCTTATATTGTTGCATCCTTTTAAGCGTACAACGTAGGTAATAAAAATTCGTTCTAACTTAATCAGATAATGCCTTAACCATTGTTTCTCATTGCAACACGTCGGTCACACGAAACTGTTAATTAGTAACGCACTGTTATGATCGGAAGAGCCTTTTTTTTTTATTTTTTAGAGCTGCGCAATTAAGAAAATAAAAAAGTCCTTTGTGTTTAAGTTATATTTTAAGTACAAAGAAAAAGACCAACACAGTATGACCCTTTAAATCTTCAAAGGTTACATTATCATGCATCTCTTTGAGTCTTATTCTAAAATCAATACTGCTTTTAGGAAGATCTCATTAATACAAATAATATATAAATACAATTACCTGCTTCCTTACAATATAAAAATATCGAACTAAACTTAAATTAAGTTTAGTTAAAGGATTTTTTTATGAATTAGCTTTATTCCGCGCTTTTGTCTTCGTGAATCAGTGATAAAAAAAGTAATGGCATATCTGTTAACAATATTTAATTCAAATCAGTTCAGATATTTAAAATTGATGAATAACAAACTTTACAAATTTTCGCATTTATGACGTTACCATTTTTATCTCGACATCATATAAAATTGTATATTTTATATATTCATATAAGTAGGTATTTTAACTAACTATAAAAGCTGAAAGGTACATACTTTGCATTAACCTCGAAAATAGAATGTCTTATTACACAATATCACAAACAAAATTTAAAAAATATTTATATTATTTAAACCACAGTGATATTTACCATATATATATATATATATATATATATATATATATATATATAT